AGACACAGAGTCAGAGACAGAGCGTAATTGGGGGAGGGACAGAGAGAGACACACACACCCAGAATCTGAAGCAGGCTCCAGGCTCCGAGCTGTCAGCATACAGCCTGACTTGGGGCTCGAACTCACGAACCGTGAGATCATGACCTGAGCCGAATTCAGACACTTAACTGACTGAGCCACCCAGGCGCCCTTCCAATCTTTTCTTCTTTTTCAAAGTTGTTTTATTTCTTCTAGGTCCTTCACATTTCCACATGTATTTTAGAATCTGTGTGTCAGTTTCTACGCACAGAAGAAAAATCCTCCTGGTTTGGGAGTGTGTTCAATCTATAGATGGATCTGGGAAGAACTGACATCCTAATAACGCTGAGTTTTCTGGCCCAGGAACGTGGTCCATGTGTCCATTTGTTTAGGTTTCCTTTCCTTCAGGAATGTTTTTAGTTTCCTGTGTTCATCTTTTACATCTTTTGTCGGATTTATTTCCAAGCATTTTGTATTGTTGATGCTATTTTCAGTGGTTCCGTTTTTATTTCAGTTTCTGATTGCCAGTGTATAGAGATACAATAGATTTTGATATATTGATCTTGCAATCCTACAATGTATTCGCTGAACTCACATATGAGTGAGAGTGGATTTTTTTTTATAGGTTCCATCGGGTTTTCTACATTGGTGACCGTATTTTCTATGAATGAAGACAGTTTCACTTCTTCCTTTCCTTTTTTCTTCCTCTTCCTGAGGGACTCAAAATACCAGTGCAGTCGACTGCTTGATGCTCCCACACAGGTCATTAAAGCCCGGTTAATTTGTTTATGATCTTTTTTGCTTTTTCTTTTTTTCTCTATCAAGGTCATTTCTATTAACCTGTTTTGTTTTGTTTTTTAACGTTTATTTATTTTTGAGAGAGAGAGAAAGAAAGAGCAGGGAAGGGGCAGGCGGGGGGGGGGACAGATGATCTGAAGTGGGCTCTGTGCTGACAGCCGAGAGCCTGATTCGGGGCTCGAACTCACCGGCCATGAGATCGTGACCTGAGCCAAGGTCAGATGCTTAACCAGCTGAGCCACCCAGGTGCCCCTAGATCGACCTGTTTTCAAGTTTACTGGTTCTTCTGATGTGTCCAGTCTGCTCTTAGTTTCCTCCAATGACTTGCTGATTTCAGATATGATGTTTTTCAGTCCTGGCCCTTCTAATTGGGTCTGTTTTACTTTCAAATCCCTCCTGAAAAAGCTGTGGGTCTTTACACACTGTGTCCATCCGGTCCTGACATTTACTAAATGTAGTTAAAGTCCTCGTGTGATGATCCCAGGGTGGAGGTCATCCGTTGGTCTGTTTCCACAGACTGGTTTTTCTCTTGACTCTGAGCCCTGTTCTCTTCCCTTTTGGCAGATCTTGCGATTTTTCTTGTTGCTAATTTCTGTGTCTTAAAACAAAACAAAACAAAACAAAAAACAAAAAACAGCAAAGGCTGAAGTACATTGTAAAAAATGACGTACCTGCTCTCTGTTACGACCACCCCAGGAGGAAGAAACACCCTTTCGTCTGGTGGGTTCCTAGAGTGAGGGGCTCGTCAGTTTGATCCACTCAGGAGCTGGGCACAGCTGCAACTTTAACCCCTCTACCTCCCTCTTGTGTCTCTGCCTCTGTCTGTCCGTCTGTCTCTCTTTCTCTCTGGCCCTGGCTGCTCCCTCCTCCCCGTCCGCTTGTACACTCCTTTCAGCTAATCTATTTCCTCCACCCCATCTCCCTCCACCCGGAAGCTCCTGGCAGAGGAGAAGGCGGCCGTACTGCGGGCGGTGGAGGAGCGTGAGCGGGTCGAGGCGGAGGGCCGGGAGCGCGAGGCTCGGACCCTGTCCCTGACCCGGGCCCTGGAGGAGGAGCAGGAGGCGCGGGAGGAGCTGGAGCGGCAGAACCGGGCCCTGCGGGCTGAGATGGAGGCCCTGCTGAGCAGCAAGGATGACGTTGGCAAGAACGTGAGTTGGGGGGGAGCCGGGGGGCCCGCTCCCCAAGACACACATGTGGGCGGCGCACGCACTCCTCACGTTGGGAGACGCACACACACGTGTGTGCTCTCACGCGTGGGACGTGGGGAGAACCAGTCGTCAGAGTCACGTGTTCATGCCCAGCGCAGAGTGGGAGGAGAGCCAGTCCCCAAACAGGCGCTCACGGAACACACGCTGAGGGCGCCCGGGTGGCTCAGTCGTTAGGCATCCGCTTCAGCTCAGGGCCTGATCACAGTTTGTGAGTTCGAGTCCCATATCGGGTGAACTCCTGCCCCTCGCTCACTTGTGCTCTCTTTCCGTCCCCC